GGGCTGACAAGTTTGGTGACTGCCAAACTCGCGAGTAGGTTGAAGACAGCACGCGAAGTACGTAGGTTTAATGTCTGGAAGCAGTTTTGCGAAAGTAGTGCCCCTCTCCATTTTCTCGGACGGAGCTAGCTCATCATCCGTGTGGACAGGTTATGTAAAAGTAAAGTTTGATTATATCATGATTCTTACTGTGCTGTTTATAATTTCTGCCACAAATTCTAAACTTTGCAGAAACGTAAATAAAGTACTTACCTAAAAAATTCTTGCGTGAAATTAATTTTTGTTTATTGCTGAATAAGTCTCATTCACGGCCGCCTTATCGAACGCAGTTGCTAAAACAACCAACCTTTGGAAAACATTCGGTACACGTATCAACTACCGAAATATTGTGATAAAGTTCACTTTAAATTGTATTTGGTAGTACGAACGATGTAATTATTCCGCTGTTTAAATCTGCCAGACGAGTACGCGAGGCCATAGTTTGCCAATCTTCCACGTCTACGAACGCAACTTTCACAAAAATAAAACCGCTTTCAAAACCGATAACCGACGCACTTTTAATTAATAAAAAAAACATTTCAAGGACCCCTAAGCACTTCTTATGAGTTTGTGAATGCGAAAGAATTCTCGGCGCCAAGAGGGGCAGAAGCGATCGCAACGCCGGCAGGGAGTGCGGTGGTGCGCCGCGAAGACCACCCTGGCTCGCTGGTGACTGCTGCGACGCGGGGTCAGGCAGCGGCGGGAGCGCGAAGCTCCGCACGGCGCGTGCTGAAATCCCGTGTCCTTTGATGACCATCATCGCCTTAGCTGCGGGTACCGGCTGACGACGTTAGACCTCAAAGCGCAGCATTAGGCCTAAGATGAGGCCAGCGCATACCAGCGTCCCCCTTCACGTCAAACAGCTGCGCGTACCGGTTGACGACTTTCGACCTCAAAGCGTAACGATAGGCCTAACGTCAATTTAGCGCATACCCGCGTCCCCCACTCTTCCCCACCTCCCGCTGCGCCGGTAGCAGTTCGTCTGGCTCCTTAGCAGCGATGACGCCGTCGCTATGGAGCCACATGACGCGTTGCAGTAAATGGGAATTTAGGTGCCTTTTTCTGCTACATACAACGCCGGCTTCACTGCGAGCAGATTCGGCGATTGCTTTAAGGAGTTCGTTCTAAAGGCCTTTAATGTGCCCGAAATACCCAGGCACAGCTCTGTGTAGCTTATCACCTCATTTGCAAATCTCCGCATTAAACGAGCCTCGCCGCCGGATCGGCAGTCTCAACCCTGATCATGGCTGACCTTTCGTCCTGATGATCACGGCAAGACAATACAATTCCAGTTTCTTCGCTAATTCGGGCAACCGAAATAAATGATAACCGTATCCGCTCGCAAGGCGAGAATGCCTTTTGTTAGCATGCCGTAAATGTAAAAATAGGGATGTGAAATATTTTAAATCTATATTATGATAGATTTATACGTAGTTCTTGGAAGCTTTGCAAACTAATTCTGCCGTAAATAAATATTTCAAAATGCTTCATATTATCTTTCACATGAAGCACTTTATTTCAATCCTAGTGAACCGTCTGCTGACATCTTCTGAATTTAATTTTTACCGTTCAGCTTCGCCTGGTGCGGATACAGACAAAGCTGGCGAGGCATGTGTACAGAGTGTTCGATCATAGCAGTGCCAGGTCAGTAGCGCAAGGTGCGGCGAAACAAAAAAGTTCAGTGCCTTTAAATAACCACCCTTTTCCTGGTAACTCGCCAGGTGAAGGGTTTAAGTAAAAACGTCGAAAAACAGTAAAAAATAAAAAAAATAAAGTCATGGCCCGGAGTTGGTACAAGACTCAGCTGTTCTGGCGACCCTGAAAATTGCGGACACACACTTATCGAGGGAGACGATTGGGCCTACTGATAGAATAAATGTGATTGGCAGGCGATAACGAAGGCAGCGATCTTTCTCGGCCTTCGCTGTTGGGAAGATAGCGCAATCGCTCGAATGGTAACATTTTAAAGGTGTTTTGTTTTTACCTATAAACCCGTTTGCAAAAATCCCCAAAGGCCTTGCGCGACACACGCAAAGGTTATTTGAATCATGCCCCAGCAGGACCAGCCACCTGACACAATAGAGACAGAGTGAGGACAGCACAGGCGCCCGCCGGTCCTTGCCAGCTGGCCCGCATTTCCTCTGTCGCCTTCAAGGTCGCATCCGTCGTCCGTTACAGCCGGTTCTAACTTCTACACAGGAAACTCCCAGCAATCTTTCCGGTGCCGCGGAGTGGCGCTGCACGTTTCGCAACGGCAGAGCCGTATATAGGGAGAGTTTGGTCAGTCTATGATCTCGCCGCCGTAACGCTCTCCTCCCAAGTGAGCCAATTAGCACGCGGCGCAGAGCGAGAGGCATGAGCGCATGCGCGTGAACTCCCGGCTGCTCCCACCTGAGTGGGGAGGGCCGCCATCTTCGATCATTCTCCCGGCGGAATCCGTGTGATCGGCATCAAAATCTCGATTATTGCCTTTTTTATCGCTGGCTCTGGCAAGAAAATGACATTCTTTTATTCCTCGGTGGGTTAAAAAGCTAATAAATGAATATTTTTCGGCGTATGGCCACAAACTTTTATTCACGCGAAAAAAAAAGTCGGCCCGTAGCAGACGACGCGTAGCCTCAGCAGTGCCCTTCTCCGACCAGTCTCCGCAGCGTTGCTCAAAAATGGCGGTCCGTCTCCTCTCTGCTCCCGTCTTTCTCTCTCGCTCATTCGGCGCTCTCCTCCCTTTCATTTACTTTTCTCCTCTCCGGCACCTTCGTCGCCACACCCACTGGCCAAACTCTCCCAATATACGGCTCTGCACAACGGGCCCATTAAAAGAGTGAAAAATAAAACCGTGTTGCTTAACAACTTAACAAGTTATGAAACATATAATCAGACGGTTAAAAGAACATCCACCGACGTTCTTTCATTTATTAATTCAAATTTAATCAAAACGCCCCTAAAGGCCCTCTGTAGGAGTGCATTGCATAAAGGCGGGGGGGGGGGGGGGGGGGGAGCAAGCAAATAAATCGTAGTACACAGATAAAACCAAAAAATTATACAAAGACACTATGAGAACGGGAATAAAAAAGAATCTTGAGTATTTGTATAACAGCGCACGAGCTCTTGGAAGTTAGACATATCTAGTTCAGTTGCAATGTGAGACGGTACGTCGATCCAGTCGATTATGGTCCGTGGTGTGAATGATCGTGCGTAACTAGATGAGTGGCACGTAACGCGCATTACTTTGAATGAGTGATCGCGACGTAGAAGAATAAGGGTGGAAAGACAAATCACGTCTTGCAACGTGATCCGTTTTTTTTAGAGGCTAATGTTGCAACGGAATTGGCTCTGGACACATAAAGTGAAGTTAATGGCTGGCCACGCCCTGTGTTTCTTAAGCTCTCAGTGACTCTATTAGGCAGTCCACAATCAAACTTCGTTACACTTGTACACAGTTTTAGTTTCTTTGTTTGCGTACAAATGCTTTCACGCAACTTGTTCTCAACAAAAAACGACAATAAGCGGCAGTAACCTAAAAAAGACGAAGTAAAAGTTTCGTCCGTTGGATGAACAAATGATGACTGCCCAGCGGTGTCCTGCGGGGAGAACCATTTGATGAGCCTTCTTCGGTGGGTGATCAGAAGAGTGCGACAAATGCGGGAATACTTCGTCTAAAACGTTTATTTAGACGTGACGAGCTATTGTACACAGTATATACAAAGCAAATAAAATTCGCCGTCCTCAAAATTAGTCCAAGTCCAAGCCAAAAAAAGGCTTCTCTCTCCCCAGACACGGGCTTTTGAGGGCGCTGACCCCCTCACTCTCGGGCCAGGATCAACCAATCATTTCAAAGTTTTGGTGGAGCCACGTGATGTCCACTGTCCAATAATTGGCAAGGGCGTCGATACACATTCGGTAACTTGCCAACGGACTACAGCCGGCAGCTCTGTAAGGCCCACTTCAGACGGGCAATTTCGCCCAGCAACTTGACGTCGCAACACCAGCAACACGGTCCAGCCGCGTTCACACGCAGCAACCGAATTGCTACGACTTGCCATCATCATCATGAAACTGTATTGTTCTTGCACTCTTTGGGCACATAATTACGCGCCATAAACGTGTTTTTATCCATTTAAATGACGTTGAGAACACTAATGCATCTTTCTGAAACGGTTTATTTAAAAAAAACAAAAAACGATCAATTTCAAACCAGAACCAAGTTCTTCATCACCGGCACGGGGTATCACGTCAAAATATCGCGTCCCTGATTGGCTGCAGCCGCTTCAAACGTCTTTGCATTGCTCCGAGTTGCTCGCTTGTTTCGAGCCGGACCCGATCTCTGCAATTTGTGTCGATCTAGGGAAAGCTAGGGAACACCTCGCCAGCAAAACCAAAATTGCTGAGAAAGTGGCTCCGTCTGGAGCGGGCCTAACTTCGTCCGTGCATCCCGTTGCAGACACAGCGGCGCCTGTCCGGAACCCCCAGGTTGAAACCCAAGAAGCCCCGTAGAATGCGCAAGCCTCCGGATACAAAAGAAAAACAACATCCCTTCCCGAGGGGTCATCCCGATGGTTGAGACACAGGAAGACGCTTTCCAAGGGGGCCGCGTCGGCGGAAAGGCCCACGCGGTCCCTCGTTAGAAAAAACAAACCCACACAAAACGACCGGGGAGGGAGCGTCATACACGCCGCTAGACAAGACGACCGTCGCCCGGCCGATCGAGAAACCAGCCGTCTTTCCCAGGACCCTTACAATCGGCTCTATACAGACTTAGCGTGTAGTTATTACAAAAAAGTGTAACGTCGACAGGTAAGCACACCCTCTCATAGCTATTTCTTCTCACGAGGGCATCGTGTAGTTATTTATGTGGAAAGCGGACACAGCATGAGCTATATTTTACATAGCTAAACACTGTCTTCACTTAATAACTCAAGTTCATACACACGTAGCTAGCTTTTCTTTCCACGTGCCTCTAACTATAACAGTAAACATCGTGAAAACTGAAAGGGGTTAACCTCGTGAGAGTGTGACTGAAATAACTAGTGACATTTTTATAACCGGTTCGTTCAAATAACCTGGACATAAACATGAACATCGTCTAACCTCATCTTTAATGAAGATGCTGAAGAATTTTTTTTTTCATCAGTGGTAAGCGAATAAAACTCGAAAAAGAATAGTACGTCGTAATTCCTTCCTTTATACTGCAAAGACACACCAAAACATACCGGTTCCTTGCAGTACTGAGACTCAGAATCGCACTGCAATATTGAACACGAGAAAAAAGAAAAAAAAATTACACCATATTCCCGAGGGGAACCATGGGGTGATGCGGAGCATCGCGGATCGTTGACGCATGGCAACTGTCCGTTGCCATGCGTCAAGCGTCGTATGCTCATGAACGGGAGTCGAGGAGCCATGAGCCGTTCTTCCACCGTGTTCAACTCGGGTAGATGGTCCGGTCGAGTTGGGTAGCGGTAGCCGTAACTCACGCTCATCGCAGGGACTCGACCCGCGATCAACGAGTTTTTACACGACGCACACACAACGTAGTCGTTGTAGTCAGTCTTGCTCTTGCCGTCGGCGCTACCGTCGTCGTCGTTGCTGGCGTCAGCGAACTCGTTGCAAAGAACTGACAGTACGTTGGTCCGATGAGTTTCCTTACGGATGTTGCCGATGCGCGTGAGGTTGTTGTCGAACCAAGGTCTATCACACACCTTGCAGCTGTGTCCGAAGCTCCGGTCCAGGAAGTCACGTTTGAAGCGAGCGTCGGGCTGCGCGTGCTGCTTGGCTCGCGCCGCCGCTTTCGCTGCGCGCTCGCAGTCGCGTGTAGCATCGGGAGCAGCCTCTCGTTGTTGACGTTTACACGCGGCTTCTCGTACTCGAAGGTTGGGTTCCGCCGCCCGCTTCGTACGTTTACGTTGAACTTCACGGTCCCGAGAACCAACGCGGCTTCCCGTCTCCTCTCCTTCACTTAACGGAGAGAAGACTAGAGGAGGAGAGTTGCGCATGCGCACGCGGTGTGAGTAGAAGCGAACGCACGCGAAGTGCACGCAGCTGGTAGAGAGAGAGAGAGCGGAGAGAGTAACGCGCAGCTGTTGGAGAGAGGGAAGGAGGAGAGTTGCGCATGCGTAGTCTGAGTGCGGACTACGACGCCGAGGGACATAGACCCGAGCAAGAGATGCTCCGCTTCTAAAAAATATATTCGCCCATCTCAATTTTAGATGCATCTCGATGCATACCCTCAGTGCATTGTGTGAGGTCCAAAGTTTCGAACTTCCATTCTGTATGTGGTCTCACGCACATTAATGTCGCGTGCAATAGCCACTGACGTGATTAGAGCTTGGCGAGTGTCCTTTAGATGCTCAGCTTCCGACAGGCGCTTGTCGCCTTTCGTCGTGCTTTCGCGGTTCTCCTGCACGCAAAGAACCCACGGCAAGCAGAAGAGTTGTCGAAACTGTACTCCATTTCACCTTACGTCCTACTGCAGCGGATGGTACGAGCCATCGGAGCCAATCCGAGGCCGCCTAAGTTCCCCGTGATTTTGGAGAGGAAGCACCTTGACGCGCGGAAAGCGTCGTCACGTGTAACATTCACGGAGCTGAATTGGCTGGAGGGATCGTAGTGTCCGCTGCGGCCTGAGCTGAGGTGGAACGGAGTACAAGGAGCGCACTCTGGGGCAGGACAACTGAAATACCTTCCTACCGCCCTCATCTTGTCAGTGACTGTAGAAATACAAAAGAGAAGAACGATAAAAAAAACGCGGAAATCAAGAAAAAAAAAAAGCGTTGCTTGGAGAGGGAGAGAGGGTGGGGCGACGGTAAAGACGGAATTCGCAAGTTTGGCGTCAATCCAGCGAACCTTTTGTCTTTTGGTGTCCCGGAAGATGGTATTTTTAGAGTCCCGAGCCAGCTGACACAAACACACAGACGCTCAAAGGCGTCGGACCAGGAGGCGCTCAAAGCGGAGGTCCCGCGGTGACGACAGGAAGAAGCAAACAAAGCGCCAGACCCCCCTCGTCGGCAGGACTTCTTCGCGCTGAACCAGGGCTGTTCGGCTGAGCGTGTTTACGTTCATCTGGGCAGACCACTCACCTCTCCCCGCTGATCGGTGCTGGAGGACCCAGCGGGAATACCAGGTCTGCGGGAATGTCGCCGCCGCTCGCTCCGAGGCGTTGCAATGTGAAGCTTTCCCATAAACCAGTTCTTCATAAAAAAAAAGTGTCGTAAACGGCCCGCGCTTTTTTAAAACTTCTACTAAAAGGTGCAAGATACCGCGTGTATCAAATATATCCCAAGCGCTCCAGCCCGTGCTAGAGGAAACATGGGAACTGTGTTCCTCCAGGTCCTTACTGATGGGTAATTTCAACCCTATCCATGGTTACACTGTTTTTGAGCGTAAGTCGGAGTCACCCTGAACAAGCGCCTGGTACACCCCAAGGACCTGTCATATCGCTTTTAAAATTTCTCTTCAATGTCAGCGTTTTTGACACTGTGCATGCTGTGCACCCTTCAACCTGGATGAGCTGCAGAAATCTCTTACATTATTATCATTATCGTACAGCTTCAGAGACGCTACCTGATATTAAGTTAGAAACACTACAGATGCTATAAACAGCCCCGCTGACTCTGAGCTAAACCCTGGTTTTTGTGGCTGTAAATTCTCAGCTTTTTAAGCAATTTCTGCTAAAACAACAATCACGAGAGTGATAATAGTGTAAGAGATTTTTGCAGCTCAACCAGGTGGAGAGGTGGATCGCACGCACAGTATCAAAAATATTGACATTAACAAGAAATTTTAAAAGTGATATGACAGGTCCTTGGGGTATATCAGGCGCTTGTTCAGGGTGACTCCGAATTACGCTCAAACACTGTGTAACCATAGAATCAGTTGAAATGAGCGAGCACTGGTGAGCTGAAGGAACATCGCTCACATGATTCCTTTAGTGCGGGCCAAACCCTTGTCACTGTAGCAAATGGTCTATTGATCCTTGCTCATAGAGCCACTAAATCAGTGTGACTTCTGAGTAACAAAACGTTAGCCACCTTTTTGCTTACAATATTTGCTGCTTGTAAGTTAAGCCTAATTTGAAATCGCGGGAAATGCTTAATGCTAATGCCAGAATAAACCTTCAGTTGTTAGTCAGGGCCTGTATCGTCCGCTTTTTTCCTTCACCCGTGTACCATTAGCGCAGTTACATGTTGTTAAACGAGTTCGGGACAGAGAAAAAAAAGATATTGCCCGAGCTTCCTGCGACCGTATTAAAAAAAAAAAGAAGAAAAGAACACTTTTAACGTTTGTGTTTATACAGCGTAGGGTCGGTCTGCCTGCAACGTACGGTGACACTGGTTTACGCTGGGGATAAACAAAAGTTATTCAGTGCAGTACCTCTACCAGCCCGAGGTCTTTAATGTTCATCACGAAAGTAGTGATACACGACCGCAAGCCGGTACGATGCTAGTCCAGGTTGAAACGGGCAGGGGTGGGGATTGAACCCAGGGTTCCTGTGTTCTGTAGCGCAAGCTTTTGCTCCCCGTGCTCCGAGCTGGTGTGCGTAAACCCCACCGATCCCCCTTGACACTGTATCTAGAGCTTAGGAAGTAGCATTATTCGAATCGTAACGATAGCCAATCGCGACCGCTCAACACTAAGCTCCAAAATGGCGGCGCTCACGAGAAAATCGGAGAATAGAGTGCCGTTACTCTAAGCGTACACTCTAAAAATAGCCCGTGTGTCTCCTTTCCCGCACAACACTCGGTGAGTCAATCACCATAACTTGCGGAGGCAGCTCAGAGAATCACGATGCCGAAACTTATGTTTAGACCAAAATACGCATTCTGTGTTGTGACATTAAGCAATGAAAACGTCACGCTTGCGCTGCTTAATGTCACAACTTAGACAGCGTTTTTTTGTCGAAACATATGTTTCGGCATCGTCATTCGCTGAGCTGCCTTCGTAAGTTGCGATGATTGACTCACTGAGTGTTGTGGGAGCAAATAAACTCACGGGCTTTTTTTTTTTTTTTTTGTCTTTTCTTTAAGTTGTAGCTTATTTTGTTATTCTAGTTCGCGGTATGAGAAGACCGTATGAATCGGTTTTTCTTAGCGTACCAAGCTAAACGCTTGTGCAGAGGCGGTGCGTCTTGTGTATAAATATTTAAAAATATTAAGATAACCAGAATAATTAGTAAAAAATTGTAAACAGTATTCTCTACCTGCTGTTGCAGTGTGTAACTGAAAAAAAAATCTTGGTGGAGTAATAGCCCAGAGAGGTTGGCAGGTGCTGACATAAAGTCAGAATAGTTAGACAAAGTAAATATGTTTTGTTTCCTTTAAGTGGGTCGTCTGAGAAAGAAGAATAAAAGTATGGCGCAACTCCGAAAATACTTGCACCGAATTTTACTTCAAAACATCGTCCTTTGTCAGAAATGAGCGTCTGCGCCTTTAGGTTTTTCTGCTTTCATTCGTTGGCTGTTGCTCCGATCAAATGCCGTTTGTTAGTACATGTGCACCCTGGACAGCAAAACGAGGTTTTTAATGTTACATATTTAGTAAACTAAAATCATGACCTTAAATGTATAACACTATGTCCACCCTTTTCTGCCATTCCATTACAAAATCTTAACGGGACGCGTTAAGGAACCGACCTAAGCGGTCCCTTTAAATACTCGACGATCCATTTGATTCACGCGGTATATTGTGCAAGAAAACCGAATCAGTTACTAACCAAAAGATGCATTCGAAAAATAAAACATTACTCACGCAGCTGGTTACAGGGTACGTCGAACGAGTAAGAACAATATGAAAACAATGTTATTCAAAATGAGGTTAAAAAAAAACAAAAAAAAAACACCTCACACTCTAAGAAATGCCTGCGCGTCTACTTACCGGCATAACACTCAAAAAGCCAATCTCTGCGATCTACGAAATCAGCCCAGCGAATGATGAGGCGTAACATCCGTTTAGACCTCAAAATAATGTCTGCGCTGTGGCATTACGCAATGCAAGCATGACGCTTTGCATTGCGTAATTCCACAGCGCAAACTTTATTTTTAAGTCTAAACAGATGTTCCGCCTCAGCATTCGCTGAGCTGATTTCGTAGATCGCAGAGAATGGCTCTTCGAGTATTTTGCGGGTCAGTAGACGCGCAGGCATTTCTTAGACTGCAGAGATGTCATACCGTGTTGACACCAGTTATACTGTGTATGACACCAGCATGTGAGGCATTTCTTAGTGTCACATTGTGAACTTCTTGGTCACAACGTTTGTAAGCTCATATTAAGGAAGTTCCGGTAGATCACTCTGATTGAATCGCTGCCTGTTTTACGGGTAAGTTGATGCGCGGACATCTTTGGACTGTGAATGAGTGCGCAGACGATGTTGTCATCTCTTGTCTTATTTATTTGCTTTCCTATGTAGCCTCGTTATTTTTTTCTTGATATGTGAGTTTCTGTTTCAAAAGATCGTTCATCAACCTGACAGCGTTCGAATAATCTTTAAATGTAACGTGCAAACTGGGCAACGCAGTTTTGTTATCCCGAATAGCATATAAGCCCTTTTTCTCGTTTTATTTATTTCTCTAAATCAAAGGAGCCCGACACATAGGGCGCGGTACACTTTTCGAATTTAACCTTTCACATCCGAAGAGCTGTCAGCTCAGTCTCGTCAAATAGCAGTGTTTTAGATCGGCGAAATGAACAAGGAGAATTTCACTGCTCAATTTATCCCGGGTTAATGTACCTGACGTTCTAATTTGTACCAGATTTTAAACTGTAAATATTAATTGATATTCAAGTGGACTACCTGCGAGAAGCCCACTTTAAATATCAGCTTTTGGAAGCATTTGGATGGTGGACTTGAAGTAAATATGAACTGCTGACAAGCACGGTGACCGCAGGATCCCACCCCCCCCCCCCCCCCCCCCAACCCACAAAAAAAAAATATATATATATATATATTATACGAAATATTGGTAGTAGTTCATCCGGGTATTCAGACATTCACTTTTGTGTCGAAAACGAACATCTGACATAATGTAAATGGCCTCATTTTTGCGGACTACAGATGTGGCGAATTTTTCAGTTTCTGTAACATTCTACGGACGCAAAAGTCCTTGACCGGGAGGGGTGTGACGTGTATTCGTTACAATATACTAATTTACTCGCGCGATCAATTGTTTCGCAATATTTAGCCCTTCACAGTATGCGAACTTATCTTCTAACACGATCACTCCACCCGCTCTTCTAAATTAAGGTTAATTGGCAATAGGTTTTTATTGAGAGCTCCGTGACTTATTATTTGTTGTTCTTATCGGCTAATGTCGCCATCTCATCAGAGAGTTTTTGAGGGCCGTTTTTGGACGTCCGATACGGTACGATGGACCCTCCGGTACGAACTACGCATGTGCGAGTGTTTTGTGGTAGCGCATGCACAGTTGGTACTAGAATGCCCGCCGTACCGTATCGGATGTCCAAAAACGGCTCCCTAAAACTCTCTGTTGACTGCGGAGCGAGAGTACGATGCTCGACACACCGTTTCTTAAACTATCTGTGTCTGCTTGTCACGGACTCTTTGTCACAGTTTGTGACAGCAGACTGTTTGTCACAGGCAGCGATAAACTCTGGTGTCGAACACCAGACTTCATTGCTGACCTGTTCGCACGCATGCATATGCGCAGATTACACTGCTTCAACGAAACGCCTACTTTCGCAAAAGGTTAACAATCCTATTGGTGGCTAATTTGGGCCTAATACGGTTATGCTCCGAGGGTTTAGTTAGTGCCAAAGCACCTTTTTTTTAAAGTTTCTGTGGGTTTTCTCTGGCTCGCCACGTAATTGCCAAGTGCCAGACGTGAGCTCATGATGCCACGCATAAACCCTAGAACCAGCAGTTAGGCATTAATCTGGCTCTCGCATGACAATCTATTTCCGAAGTTGTTACATGGAAACTATATAACCAGAAGGGCAGCCTAACTTTTGCAATTGCTTGGCGAGTTAGGGCCAAATGTTTAAGATCACAGCCAAACAGCCACGAGTAATGCCTACCTTTAGCGCTTGTTTGGCGAATTAGGGCCAAGATACTCAGACTCTTGATATGAAAGTCGAGTTTTGCTTCACCTTGTCCTCTTCGAACTTTTAAAATGCTACATTCTCAAAAAACAAGATTGTCCCAAATAACACTGCTAGTAGCGCACTATTAACTTCCACGGCAGCCCCCCCCCCCCCCTCAAATTAACAAACAAAAAAAAAAACAGGAAGAGCTGGCAATCTTTTATTTACCAATCCTTCAGAACGAGTTTTTCTAAGGCTATCATTCGACACATTTGTAAGAGTGACCATCAGGTGTACTAAACCTGAACCGGTATGTGCGTTGTCAGGTAAATACTTAATTATTACATTGTGCGTTCAAACTTTACACTCTAGCACCTATGTTTGGTAGTCGGCAATAATATTAATAGTGATAATAATTTTTATTTCATCAGGATAACAAAATAAAGATTACTATTATCTTCCAGCAGGAAAGCAAAATAGCTGTTTGAAGAATGCGTTTGTATACCATTGATTAATTAACCTCTCGAAATATTTACCCTCTGCATTCATCAAAAATTGGATTCTAGTATAATCCGTTTCAAGCTTTTCATGAAATGCGCAGTTCAAACTCTTTAGTGAAGGACAATGGAACATCGCAACACGCCTCCGACGAGTCGAAACAAATTCTCGTTCCCTAGGTGTGCTCGAGCGCAAAGTGAGCGACTACGATGAATAAAGCCCCCGCTACGAATCAATTAAAGGCGCGACTTCGGTATTTTAAACATGTAAAAGCGAATCAAGGACACAAAAGCCTCAAATGTTTGTGTCGGCCTCTGGTTAATCCTGCATTGTTTCCGTAATCCAACCTAATCCTTTGCCACCTTCAACTTTGGGAATTAAGACGTTCTTATGATCTGCTCTTTTGTAAGGCGTCAAAGCTCGAATCCCCCGCCGCCTCCGAAGGTCATTCTTCTGCATTTCCTAACACCAGCACAAGCATTTGGTTTTCTTTTTACGTTCAATTTAACGTAATTTATTTACCCCAATGACATATGTTGATGTACTACATAAGACGCTTTGTATATTAAAATGTATATTGGCTTTTGCTGCTTTTCCTATTATTAATTTATCTATTAACTCTTTATTAAATATGTTTAGCAAACACACACAATCTTCCCATCTGTTACGTATTCAACATTACCTAATATCGACAGAGACGCCAATCAAATTTGAGTGATGCTGGCCGAAGGTTTCCAAACAAGCCGAAAACCAACGACATTTTATGCGAATGTAACCACTTTCTAGACACTCGCAGCATACGTGAGTTTTCTAGGCTAATTAGTTTTTTTATGCACAGCGTTTTTCGCACTTCTTGGTAAAACGCAAATTTTAATCCAATTGAAAAAAACGCAGACGTCTGAAGAATTTGCCAAGTAATATTTTTCACAACCACAGACAGCCATATAGCAGTGCTGTTTGTATGACATACAAATCCGGTAAAAGTATATTAATGGTCCCAGCAATTAAGGTTAAAACGGGAGTGATGCTTCGGTTGGACTTTGCTCTCCTTGTTCTCTCAGGCTATTTCCCAACTCTTACTGAAGTAGGTTAGAGTTTTTCTTGCGGGTAATATCACGTGATAACGCGTATTAAGTGATGCTAGACGCCAGTAGGTTTTCGAACGCCAAAGGTACAAAATCTTTTACTCTGGAGCAAGATCAAGTAAATTTTGGAAGACATCCGTAGAGTAGGGCGAAAAGACGGGAGCAGAGCACGGCAAATCGTAAGCGCTGACATCAGTGGTCCAATGCAAAGAACAAGAAAGAGAGCGACTGAAGTGCAGAGAAAGAAACCGAACGACAGTTCAGGCCTGTTCATTTGGCCGCGACGAGTTAAAGTTGCTTGAGTGCGCCTCCACTTTATTTTATTTAATACAGATCGCCACGCCGGTGCTCTCGTGAATAATTAAAGCCAGAAAAATCTAGATACAGATATTGGAACTCATCTTTTCTTGATTCCTTCTGCATAACAAAGCGTAGCCAGCAATATCTTACCATCGGGACTACCGGTATCTGCGTCTATGCGCTTCCGTTCCGAAGCTGCCGGAGTGCGTGGGACATTTCCCTCTCGAATATTATAGTGACTTTATGCCTTAGAGTTGCTTTTTGGCAGACATGCATGAATGAATGAAAGACTGCTTTAAATTGTCCAATACGCAAATGAATATATTAATACAATTTTGAACCATAACCAGTTTGATTGTAAGCCCAACAAGTTAATCTGAAATATATTATTCTCTCGCAAACAAGTCCTCGGGGGATTTCATTTAGAGATATATTTTAGGGCGCATTCGACAAGAGTCTATTGCCGGATTAGCTAGAGTGCTTTAACTCGAAACGTACATAGAGGACCACTAAAACGGACACTCAACTTTTAAAGATAGCAATGGAGTCAGAGAGAATACGTGAGTATTTGTATTTGTGTAGGTCTTTCTAACTAACATTCGTTGACTGTTTGTTTTTACAGAGTAAACGACAACAAAATATTAGAATATAAAGTTATTAAATAAGCGAGTGTATTAACGTTACAAATGACTCCAAACCGGAGACAAACAGACAACAAAGGGACACATACAAAACGTCTCGAACGCAGTTGGGTAAATTTTATTCACACATCATGTTTTATACGACACCCTCTCGCACGACCTCCTCTGAGTTGCGCTCCTTCACACAGCCAACACCACGCCCTCCTTAACACAACAAATGGTACAAAGCACCGTCTTCTCTTAAAAAAGACCCTATGAAGGTCGTGAATAAAATATATTCAGCCGCTGTTGAGACGTGTGTATTAGTTGTCTTGTCCGTTCGACTCCAGTTTATAATCATGTGTAGCTGAAATATTACAGTTTTTAGTTGTCTTGCGGCACCATGATTAAAGGCATGAGACCAAGGTCAACGAAGCATGATTTTTGGGTGTCCGTGCAGAGATTGCAAAATATTCGGTTTAAGAAAATTATGGCTTACACTAACTCAGTAGAAGTGAAGTCTGCACGCTAAATTGTGACGGCATAAAATATTGTGATTTTTTCTCATACGTTTTGTGCGTAACGAATCACCTGGTCAGAGCATGTGAAGCGATATTTTTCTCAACATTCGCTCGGTGTTGGTGATGAATTAATCCGCTCTTAATTTTGGTTTCTTTCCTTTATACCTGGCGAATTCTCACATGTTCGTAATTTGTTTAATAAAAATACCCGCATTCAGGACCTGTGTTTTCTTAATTATAGTTCTGGAAGGAGCACAGGCTTTAGTTTACGTTGAGCAGCATAGAACCAGGGTTTAATCAAGTGTGAGCACGCGCCCAATGTATAATTCTTAGGGAAAAAAAGCCTTCAGATGAAACAGAAGGAAACAGTCAAAAACATTCGCTAAATGAATAGCAAAGCAGGTGTTGCGGATAGACAAATAAAACGACAAATATTAAAATTTAAAACAAGCTCAGGGAAAACTCTAAAACATATTATTAATAATCCTTCAGCCTTCGGGCCCTAAACAAAATGAATGAAATACATTCAAATTCCAAGGTACAAACGTTTAGTATTCAGGTGTCCTGAATAGCCCTAAACATTTAAGGAAAAAATAAAATGTATGACGTCTAAAAACACGTCGCGAATTTAAAATCCCTAACTACTACGTTCGATGTTATATTTGTGTGCTATCGCTTCAAAAAATGAGTGATTGGAGAAAATAATTAGGTTATTATGAAGATCATTTA